CGCCTCCTCGGACCGAACTGGCCTACCCTGACGACCGATGGCGCTCTGGATGAGCAGGACCCTTGCCCGCTTCACGGCTTCCCGGTGCCCGCTCTCGCACGGTCGCCCCACCGGATGCGGACGGCGACCCAGCAAGTTCCAGGAGGGAAAAACACGCGCAGACACAATTAGTCGTCGATCCCCCAGAAAATCTAGGAAAATATGGGAAGTGGGGGGGGAAGACAAAAACCCAGAAAATATGGGAAAATATGGGGAATCCGCTTACTTGTGTGTATTTATGTGTGTGTGTCCCAGGGATCCTTCAAAGTGGTGCGGCCAGGGTGCAGAGCACTGGCGTGGCACGTCTGCGGAGGCAAGGCTCCGAATCACCTTGTCGTGGGCCCCCATGGAAAGGCACGCCACAGCCCTCTCGGCAGCCCCGCAGAGAGGGGGCACTGCCTGTGCGCTTGTTGTCTCTTTCTCTTTTTTTTTTTGTTTGTTTTCTCTCTCTCTCTCTCTCTCTCCCTCTCTCCCTTTCTCTCTCTCTCTCTCTCTCTCTCTCTCTCTCCTCGAGCGGAGTCGCCCTTTTTTGACGATCGTGACGCTCTGCGTGCGCCCGCCTGCCGGCCAGCAGCGCGATGTCCAGGCGTCGGCTCTCGCACGGCCGCCCCGCCAGAGGTGGGGACGGCGACCCGGAGAGTCGGGCGGCGCGTCTGCGGAGGCCAGGCTCCACTCGTGTCTTGGGCCTCCCTGGGAGGCACGCCACGGCCATCCTGGCAGCCCCACGGAAGGGGCACTGCTTGTGCGCTTTGGTCTCTTTCTTTCTTATTCTCTCTCTCTCTCTGCCTACCTCAGCTGCTCCCCAGCATGTGTCGTCCGCTCTTTGGTTGCCCACACTGACACCTCGCTGCTCCCTTCCAAGTGGGATGGCCAAGGCGCCGGGCAGTCTGGCGTGGCACGCCTGCGGAGGCAAGGCTCCGATCTGGTCTTGGGCCTTCACCTGCTTGCGCGCCACAGGACTCCTGCAAGGCACAGCCTGGATGGCTTCCCTGTCTGCGTGACCACGCCGGCTGCTCCCCAGCGGGGCTTCCCCGCTGCTTGATTGCTGCAGCTCCCACACGTCACACAAGCACCTTGTCACGATTTCACTCGCGCGGCGGTATCGTCCCTGAGGCCTTCTGGGGTCGAGCCTGCTGCGCGCCTCAAAGAACCGCGCGCGCCGTCTGCGCTGGCCGAATTTGTGCAGTATCCGGGCCCGCATAGAAGCGCACGCCACACCAGGTTGGCAGGCCATCAGAAGGGCTACGCGGCACAGTCCTCGCGTAGGCCACCACAGCTCCCACACAGCTGCAGCCGCCCATGCATCGAGCGCAAGGAGTAACCCATCAGAACCCACGACAATGAGGGCACTCGACCGCGCCTGATGGACCCCTCCCCCGAGCATATTGCCCTCCTCCGGCGCACGTCTGTTCACCGTAAGAATTGCAGACGCGAGTAGGCGTGAGCGAATTCCTCTGGGTCAGGATCGGTCAAATCAAATCAAGGCGGAGGCTCGCCGCGGCTGTCGAACCTTTGAAGCAGTTGCTCCTCTTTCTGCCAACGCGGAGCTGCTGCCGCCGTTGGGCCCCCGTCGATCCCCTCCTCCCCCTTCGGTCCCCCGCACCATTCAGCAGTCTGTCTGTTAGTTTTGTGCCTTGCTCGTGGAACACGCTTGCGAGGAGGGGAGTGGTAGAATGAGCAGAAGGAGAGGATACGCAGGGGAGGGGGAAGGGCGAGGAGCACGACGAGGAGTACGATGATGAGGAGTGGGGAGCGGACGATCAGGAGGCGGAGACGGCGGCTTCATTGCAGGGCGTGGTTTCGGCATATGGCGCGCACGCGTTTGCACGCGCCAGGCATGAGCGCATATTGGTAAGCTATGTGTTCAAGGTTCCTGCGCAAGCAACGTCGGACTTTGTCATGTAGGGCTGGCCACAGAAACACAAAGATCAATGCCGCATGATTTTGGCGGCATCGAAATAGCATATGAAAAGACAGTCCAGAAGGCATGTAGAACAGCAGCTCCAAAAGGAAATGCACAGGAACGCGCCCACGAGCCTGCCAGCCAGATAGAGCGGGGCAAGTGGGGGCAAGCGACTGCGCGGGGGCAGGTCTTCGAGTAGTTGGGACCGCGCATGTCCGCCGCGTGTGCTGGAGGCGCCCCCAGATATGCTCGGGGCCTCCAAAGACTGGGTCGGGTGCTCGGGGCCGGGGCGCGCCCATTTTGCAAGCGCGGTCGGGGGGGGCCCGGGGCCGGAGACAGAGACAGAGGCGGAGGAGGGAGCCGACGAGCCTCGCGCCCGGCTTGGCGTGGCGTGCGGGTGCCCTGCGGGAGTCGTCGGCCGCGGGTTCTGCTCTGCTGGGCAGAGCGGCGCGCAGCGCCCAGCAGAGCCTCGAGTTTTGGGCTGGGTGACGGCCCAGCCGCGCCATGCCGAGTGGGCCAAAGCAGCGGCAGACATCGAGGACACGTGACCTAGGCTGGGCCACTGGCCCGTCGACGCCCCTGGAGTCGCCAGCGCAGGCATTGGCATCCTCAAAAAGAGCCCCCCCTCCAGAGAGTTGACAGCAGTATGCCTGAAAAGGGCCCGAACTAGCGCCCGCGATCGTGCGCCAGAAAGGGAGCAAAAACCAATCGGCTTTCGCCGCACAACGCGCAGCCAAAAGCTCAGCAAAAAGGGTCGCATACTGTAAAGGTTTTCCGTGTGCGGGCACGCACGCGGCGGAGGTCGAGTGACCTTTTTGGGTTGTTTTTTTGTAGAGTTTCGCGTTTTGTTGCCATGCTTAGCCGCTCGGTTTTTGCGGCGCAGTTGCACGTAAATGGAGTAGAAGAAGCGTTGCCGAAACATGCGTGGCGCCTTTTGCCGCGCAGTTTGGTGGCAGCTGTTGTGGCCGATTCTCTGCCGCGCATTCTTGTGACAATTTTTGGTGGCGCGCGGTCTGTTTCTGCGTGGCAAGTGTTCGTGGCAATTTTTGTGGCGCTTCCCTTGCGTGGTAACTTGCCCGTTCCCCGAGCATCGACTTTTCTCGGGAACGGGCCATTTTGGGGCGGGCCCCCTCCCCAACCGCGCCTCCTGCCCGCCCATGCCGTGCGATGATGATCATCGCGACGCCCTTGCATGCGGGAATCTGCTCGAGTGCTGCGCACTTCTTCTGCGCCCGTGTTAGCTGTAGTGTGTGCCGTTGCGGCGCGCTGGGCAATGGTGCGGCGTGCTGCTTCTGTATCGCAGTTTCAGTGTTGGGATGCGCCGCGCACTGCCTGGGCGCGCCATGTTGTGGGCCAGGCCGCGATGCGCCTTGCATCCCAGCGCTCGCAGCAGCAGGCTTTTGCGCGCGGCATGGAGGGAACATTTGGTGGGTTTGCTCCACGCCGCGCGCGCGCTTTTTTCGATTTTGCGATTTAGTTTTGGCGCTCTTGTTTGGTGGGATTGGAACATGTCTAGTGATGGGCCTAAGCGAGACTTTGATATGGCAGTGCATGGGCTGGAAGCAACAGGTACCACTTTCTTCTGTCATAGCAACCCAAGTCCGGGCGGTGGCCTCTACACATTCACACACATCCTCACACGCATATACTTGAATAGATCGTTTAGGTTATGCCGAAGAGCATTTGGAATTGGTTTCGACAGCGTCCCGCTTCAATGCGTGGTCACCGCTTGCCGAATATTTGGCGTGGAGCCTATCACGCGCGAGCATCCCATACTCAGCCGTGGCCAGCGAGGGCTTCACGGAACCCGTCTCGAGGCTCTCGTGGGCCCTCTTGAGGTCATTTTGGCATCCCTCGGGGGGTTGTGCGTGTGTGGAGGCTTTGGTCTGTCTGGGAGAGCAACGGGGCGGGCCGTCTTGGGGCCGCCGGGGAGCACTCCGGAGGTCATCTCGGGCCACCTCGGGCCGTCCTGCGCAGTCTCGGCGGCGATGTCCGTGCGGTGCCGCACCCTCTGCCGCCCGCGCCCTCTCCAGCGCGAGTCGGCAACGCCAGGGCCGCGCGGGGATGCCTCGGGCCCGACTTGAAGCGGTACCGGAACCTCATGCGGGGACGGCTGGCAATCTCTAGGCCTCCTATATGGGGTCCGAGTAGATGGGGTCGGAGGATCGCGCCGCATCGCCGATGCATCGACGATGGGGCTCGATGTGGAGACCGATTTTCCCCACGCCGACGTCGCGGATGCGTCGCCGACGTCGCTGATGCATCGCCGATGCATCGCCAATACATCGGCGATGCATTGGCGATGCGGCGCGATCCTTCGACCCCATCTACTCGGACCCCATCTAGGAGGCCTCTACAATCGTGGCGCCAGTTGCAAGGAAATCGTGGGCCTGGGGGCGCGAACCTGGTTGGATGGGCAAGGGATCGTTGCCTCGGGGGCGCGAGCGGCGCGGGCCGGGAGCAGCTTGCAAGGATTGTGGTGTTGGGGGCGCGATTCTGGCGTAATGTAATTGGCATCGCTCGGACGTGTGCATTTTCCTTTGGCGAGGACCATCGAGGAGCATCCTTGATCATTTTGCGAAAAAAACCCACGCACGAAACTGAAAAAAACAGGGAATGGACGTCCGAGCGATGGCCAGTGCATGAGGCATTGTGGCTCGGGAGGCGCGAGTCTGGTGTAGTGCTGTCTATTGCTGCTCATCTGCTGCACTCCGCCCTGCTTCGCCGCTCCCTCCCTCCTTCTCGCTCCTCGTCCTTGCCATCCCCCTCCCCATCCTCCATCCCCTCCCTCCGTCCCCATCCCTCCCTCATTCTCTCTCCCTCCCCCTCGTTCTCTCTCTCTCTCCCTCCCCCTCGTTCTCTCTCTCTCTCTCTCTCCCTCTCTCTCTCTCTCTCCCTCTCTCCCAGCTCCGAGCGCCAATGGGGGGGGAGCGCCGATGCCCGCGCGGACCTCTGGAAGGCTGTGATCTTCTGCTCCAAAACATGCACCGTTCGCTCCATGACTAAGTGTCCCTCGTCCTCGCCCTCCTCCCCCGGGCCTCTCTCCCCCTGATCGGAGGCCAGCTGTCTGACAGTGAAGGCGAAGACGTCCCGGACGACTTCCGTCCTAAGGGCGCGCCCATGGCGAAGTACACAGGCAGCCCCCCTCCTGCTGCTGTCCTTCCCCTCCAATGCCGACGGCGACTAAGCGGTGATAAAGGTTGTTCAGAGGACGGCCAGTGCGAGGGGGAGGAGATGGAGGAGGAGGGATGGGGGAGGGAGGATTGAGGGAGGACGAAGATCAGGTTGGGCATGAGGAGTGGCACATGGAGGAGGGAGGAGGAGGAGGAGGAGGAGTACGGAGTACGGAGTACGTGGAGGAGGCAGGAGGAAGAGGGAAAGCAGGAGGAGCAGGGGAGGAGGGAGGGAGGAGGGTGCAGGGAGGAGGCAGGAGGGAGCATGGAGGATCGGGGAGGGAGGAGGGACGGAGGGACGGAGGGACAGGCGACCGAGGATGGCGGAGGAGAAGGAGGAGGACAGGCTGGGCTTTTTGCGCTGCACCGCCGCTCGCCTCCCCCCGAGCGGCCCAGCGCTGCGCCGGAGGCACCTACGAGCTGAACGACTGGCGGTTCCAAGTCACGCTGGACCCCCCCTCCCGCGCGGCGAAGGAAGAACGGCATCCGTAGGGTGCCACATGTGAACCCCTACCCCCCACGATTTCTGAGGGGGAGGGTGGGGTTCACTTCGCTCGTGAGGGGTAGGGGGAGGGGGAGGGTGCGAGCGAAGTGAACCCCACCCTCCCCTTCACAAATCGTGGGTGGTAGGGGTAGGGTGCACATGTGGCCCCCTAATCCGGTCCCAGACGTGCTCGGGCCGTGAAGGCGTCTCAACGGGAGGTCTTTGGGAGCCTCCAGGGGGTCCCTCGCCAGGCCCCGTGACCGCCAAGAGCCGGCTCGCGACGGAAAGCCAGCCCCGGGGACGGGATCGGGGCTTCCGGGGACCCCTTGGCATCGCTCGGACGTGTGCATTTTTCCTTCGGCGAGGACCATCGAGGAGCACCCTTGATCATTTGGCGAAGAAACCACGCACGAAACCAAAAAAACACAGGGAATGGACGTCCGAGCGATGGCGGGATCCCGCACCGAAAAACATCGGGCATGCCCTGGGCAGGCGCAGCAAGTCTGGAGTCGGCCGGCAGGCAGGTGCCCCACGGAGCTTCCTCCTCCCCCGGTGGCCTCAGGGACCCACAGGAGCATCCTAGGGGCATCCTATAGGCTCCTCCGAGGTCGGCCGAGACTGTGCCCCACGACTTTCGGCAGAGCGCCTCCTCCGCTGCAAGACAGTCTTGCGGAGGCCCCCGCGGAGCTCTTGGCTCGGCGCCTGGGTCCCCCTGGCGGCGCCTCCGGCGCCGCAGCTTGCGCGCTCCGCGCGCGCCAGGGGAGCCCTCACCCTCCATCTTCCGCACCTTCCGCGCGGCAGGTTCCACGCCGCGGCGGCCGCCGCCGCGGCCGCCACTGCGGCTTCCGCCGAGGCCGCAGCAGCGGTTTCGGCGGCGGCGGCGTCCGCCGCGGCGCGGCACCTGCCGCGCGGAAGGTGCGGAAAGTGGAAGGCGGGGGAGAGGGATCCAGCGCCGAGCCAAGAAGCCCGCGCGGACCTCCGACGAACGTCTGCGTGGACCCCGCGACCGTCTGCGCGCACGCGCCTGCCGCTCGGTTCCTCCTCGGGCCCGCGCCCCACGCCCGCCGCGCGGCTGGCCCGGGGCCAATGCTGGGCCCCAGGACGGTGTGTGGAACCTCCTCTGGCCGAGGCCGGGGGAGGGCGTACATCAGAGCGTGAATGACCTACCCGGCTCTCGCTTCCAGGCAAAGCCAAGTCATACCACGCGCCTCCTCGTCAGGCGGCCTGGCCAGTGCAGGCCGTAGTTTGGCACCGCTTGGTATCTCTTGGAAGCGAGGGTGGTCAAAAGCGAGGTAGGTTTGTTTGCCCCCTAAGTACACGCCATCCTGGGGTCCTGGGGCCCAGGACGGACCTGGCCAGGCTCGGCGGCGGTGCACAGATGCCCTCTGCACATGCCGGTTGTCCGATGGCCCTCCTGCGTGGGCACTTCGAGCGCTTACGATCGAGGTTTGTCGAAGGCAATATGCTGGCCTGCTCCCGCCTCGGACTCGAGAGAAATTCGACGTATGGCGCGCCTCGATGCCGCGTAATTGCCGTTGGTAGTATGATTGCCGTTCTGATATTATCACTATCAGCGTGGTGTCTGAATACCCGTAAGGTAAGTAAATATCAACCGTAATGGTATTACTAACACAACTGATCGCACTAACATGAATCGGGTTATGATGTTCGTAATCGTATTATATTGTTGGTGGTCGGAGTATGACTATCTTATCATACGTAGTTATATTTTCTAGTACTAACTAAGGTTCGTAGTACTCTTAACATTGTTATTCGCACGCTTATTATTCATCATATGTTCAAAAGTATTGCCATCACTATGCTTTATTAGTAGTACTAGTTGTACGGTTTGATTAGCAGTAGTCATAATATTGTCCTCGCTTGTATTCGTATCATTAATATTTTTAGTTTGGTAGCAATGATTATTGGTGTTGGCATTGATCGTAGTAGTGCTGCTATTCTTATTCGATGCTGGTATGATAATTCGATGTAGCGATGTATTCGTACGATTCGTCTTGTTGTTGCTATCCTCGTGTGAGCAGGCCCTCTAACGCTGTAGGCCCAGGGACGCCCTCCGGGCACGAGCCTCCGCCGGGGAGTGCCGAGAAGCGCCGTCGCAGAGGCGGCTCCCACGGCTCCTGCCGCGGTGTAGCGAGTTCCGAGCGGCCTGGCCCAGACCCATCCCTCCCACACAGACACACACAAGCATAATTACCGAGCTCAGCGCCGACACCGACTCCAAGGATCTCTCCCCCCCTCCCTCCTTTCCTGACTTTTTGATGTATCTCGCACTGCATGCTCCTCAGACACATCAGATTTTTGTCCGCATCGAGGCTACGGCCTCCACCGCCACGCCCAAACGGGCGCGTGCGGGCGCCCACGCGGCGTGCGCACGGATCTGGCGTTCGTTCGTTCGTTCGTTCGAGCGGCCTGGCTCAACCCCCGAGTTTGTTTGATTGAACGCTCCCGAGGGGGCAGACACCGCTGCCCCACTCGTTTTGGAGCGTGGCCGCTTTGATGCTGATGCGGGAAGGCGTGCATCCCGCGACCATGCTTGGCGAGCGAGGCTCGCTATGGAAAGATTGGGACCACCTGCGCAGCACTGGGCCGCACAGAGGCGGAGGCGGCCCAAGAAGGCGCGAGCGCGGAAGCCCCCAACAGCCGTCGGGCTCGGCCCAGACAGGGCGCTGGAGGGCCCGAGAGGGGCCCAAAAAGGGACCAGGATGGGCCGAGTGCGGCTGAGTGGTGCGAGCGAGGGAAGCGGGAGGGGGGAAAAAAGGCATCGCATCTTAGCTTTTGGCTCCTGGAGGGGCTCCTGGGGCTCTCCGGGTGCGCCCCGGACGACCGGAGAAGCTGCCCAGAAGGCGCCCAGAGAGCTCCGAGGAGGCCCGAGAGGCAGTCAGGACGGCCGCAGAGAGCATCCGCAGATTTCAAGATGGAAGGAGGAGCCCGGGGAGATGCACGAGTGAGGCGCAAGGAGAAGCCCGCGACGATTGGAATCGTCGACATCCTATGTGTTGTATTCGGTGTGTTGCCCATCGGGGCTGGAAGGTGTTTTGAATTCGAGCGCAGGTGGAGAGGCATCCAGGAGGGCCCCAGGTGGCCGTAATGATCCGAAGAGTGAGCCCAGAAGGCCCCGGATAGGCCGCCCACAGCCAGCTTGGGAGGCTCCCGGAGAGGTTTCTGAGAGGGCCTGGCGGCGCCCAGAATACGAGCACCCGCAACGGAGGTCATCTGGGGCTGGGCAGGGGTGGACCTAAACGGTGTTCTAGCGATTTCGTGGGCCGTTTTCGTTTCGATTTCGTTTTGCGGTGCGGGCGGATCGCATACAGAACGAGGGAAAGCGAAACCAAAACGAAAACAAAAAACACCGTTTAGGTTCAGCCCTGGGGCTGGACATTGGTGGCCAGATCTCCCCGGCCAGGCCCGAGGCCCTCGTGCTCCTCGCGCTCCTCGTGCTCCTCGCGCTCCTCGTGCTCCTCGTGCTCCCCGTCCTCCTCGTCCTCCTCGTCCTCCCTGTCCTCCCTGTCCTCCTCGTCCTCCTCCTCCTCTTCCTCGTCCCCCTCGTCCTCCTCGTCCTCCCTGTCCTCCCTGTCCTTCTCGTCCTCCCTGTCCTCCTCGTCCTCCTCGTCCTCCTCGTCCTCCCTGTCCTCCCTGTCCTCCTTGTCCTCCCTGTCCTCCTCGCCCTCCTCGTCCTCCTCATCCTCCTCGTCCCCAGGAAGGACCCCAGGAGGGGTCCGGAGAGGCTGAGAGGCAGGCGCAGCTGTGGGAAGTGCGTTGGTGACAAGACTCGCGAGGAGCAGTCCCTGCAGATCGTGCGCGGTGGTGCTCTCGCACGCCGTGCCCGGTGGGGCGCCGGATCGCTTCGCTCATTCCGCCGGCCCACCCAGCGTGGCTGGGTCGTGAACTTGTAGTGTGTCAGGGGGCGTCGTGGATGCCTTTTCCTCCTCCTCCTCCTCCTCCTCCTCCTCCTCATCCTCATCCTCATCCTCATCCTCATCCTCCTCCTCATCATCATCCTCATCCCTCCTCCCTCCTCCCTCCTCCTCCTCCTCCTCCTCCTCCTCCTCCTCCTCCTCCTCCTCCTCCTCCTCCTCCTCCTCCCTGCGAATTTTGGGAGTTTGGCGGCCCCGGCGAATTTTCAGGGAGCTGCCTTTTGGTCTCTTGGAGGGCTGTTGGGGGGGCTCGTCCAGCAATTCTGCTGATCGCGCATCTGGCGCCACGGCCGCGAAGCCGGCCCTTCCGGCGGGCGCCCTCCCATCCAGCGGGCAGTGGCTATGGACATACTGCACCGCCTCCTGGGGTCCCAGGACGTCGGTTCCCCGGCGGCGGATGTAGACGAATCCCCGCCTCGCACTCCTCCTGCTTCTCCTCCTGCTCCTCCTCGGTCCAGGGTCCACTTCGATTCGATGGATCCGCTTCGAGCTAAGTTCGGCCGGCCCGACCTGGCTCGAGTCCGATGTTCTGGCGATTCGATGCGGGCGGCCCGATGCTTGCATGGCGCCGTGGTGCATCCTGGCGCAGCCGATCCGATTCGATTTTAACTTCCTGCCGATGCGGCCCGACTCGATGTGCGGTCCGGTCCGATCCGAATTGCCGATTCGATGCGGTCCGCTCCTGCCACAGCCGGCTGCCGTGAGGGTCGAATCGGATCGCTGTTTTTGCACAGTCGCACCCAGGCCCCCCTGGCGCCCCCTCGCCCCTGCCCCGAAGAAAAACTGCTTGAAACATAAGTCACCACCCACCAAACCACCCCAACCCAACCCGAAGGCTTCAATTTCCCCTCCATTTCCAGTGGGGGGGGATCGGGGAACATCGAAAAAACACATGGTCCCCGTACCCCCCCCAACCCGAAATTCGTGTCAAATGCGTGTCTTCGGGTTGGGTTGGGGTGGTCTGGTAGGTAGTCAATAAGTGCTCGAAAGTCCGCGCGGACTGCTTGGATCGGAGCTAGGCCCCCTCCGGCGCGCTCCGCGCGCCGGAGGGCGGCGCCAGAGACGCCGCCGGGGGGCAGCGCAGATCCAAGAAGTTCGCGTGGACCTCGAAAGCTGCGGCTCACGCGCTTGTCTGTCTTCCGCACCCCTCTCCACCAAGGAGGCGCGGACTTGAGTGGTAGAGCGGGATATGCATCAAGGGCAACGTTAGGGGGGGACAGGCTCAGGGGAGGGTTGCATCGACCCACAACCGCCCATGGATCGCCGATGTGGGCCCGGTAGCCCCACCACGTCCAGGACCGTGCGGAGTCGCTCTCGGGGGCCTATCGCCGATCTGTCCGCGATGTATCGCCGACCAGGAGGAGGAGGAGGAGGAGGAGGAGGAGGAGGAGGAGGAGGAAGATGAGCAGGAGGAGGAAGATGAGCAGGAGGAGGAGGAAGATGAGCAGGAGGAGGAGGAGGAGGAAGAGGAGGAGCTCGATGTTTCGCCCCCTGAGCCAGTCCCCCCCTTGCGGTCCCCCTCAATCCAGGGTCTGCGCTCGCTCCGCCCACGCTTTGCGAGCATTGGCCGGCGCAGGCTGCCGCACAATGTCTGGATGTTCAAATGCTGTATGCTGCGCTCCTCCTGTCCTTACCTTCTGCTCCTCCTCCCTCCTCCTCGGCCGCCTCCTGACCTTCCTTCACTCTTTTCTCCTCCCCCCTCTTCTCCCTCGTCATTTCCCCTTTCCGCCCCCCCCCTCTCCCTCCTCTACTCCTCACTCCTCCGCTGCCTCCTCCTTTCTCCGCCTCCTGCTGCCGCACAGCTGCTTCTCCTCCTCTCTGGTCTCCCCGCAGATCATTTGTCTCGCTCGTCGTGGTCGTCGCTGAGGATGCTGCTCCTGAGGAGGAGGAGGAGGAGGAAAAGGAAAAGGACAAAGAGTATGGGGAGGAGGACGAGGAAGAGGAGGAGGGGGAGGAGGAGGAGGAGGAGGAGGAGGAGGAAGAGGTTGAGAAGGAGCATGGAGGAGGAGCATGAAGGAGGAGGAGGAGGAGCAGCAGAAGGAGGAGCAGCAGGAGGAGGAGCAGCAGGAGGAGGACGAGGACGAGGAGGAGGAGGAGGAGGAGGAGGTCAAGGAGAGAGCGAGAGAGGACTGCAAGAAGATCTTCTTCGACCCCTACGGCCGCGTGACCGGCGAGGCGAGGCGCGGCCAGCTGGCCGCCCCCGCTTCTGCCCCCCTGGGCCCTGCGTTCTCGCCCGCCCGGTTCCCTCCCCCTTTGACAGGGGGCGCCTCGCACCCAGGCCCCCGTCGAGCGAGCGAGCGAGAAGGCCAAGCCTCCGGAGGGACGCGCGGGCTGGCACGGACACTCATGATTCCTGCCGTGATTCGCTGCGACCAACTGAACGCAGACGGCCAGGAGGAGGAGGAGGAGGAGGAGGAGGAGGACGAGGAGGAGTCAGACGAGGAGGAGGAGGAGGAGGAGGAGGAGGAGGAGGACGACGACGACGAGGAAGAGGACGAGGAGGAGGCGGAGGAGGTGGAGGAGGAGGAGGAGGTGGAGGAGGACCGCCTCGAGTCATGCACAAAATCACGACGGGAGGTTTTTCGCTGCTTTCAGCCTCTGGGGGCCCTTCCCAGGCCTCGGGGCCGCCAACAGACGACTCAGGAGGAAAAGCCGGTCCTGGAGAATGGCTCGAGACCTCTGGGGGGGCCCACGTCATGGAAAAGCCATCCTTTTCGGGCGTCCCCACAACGCCCGATCATCAGTCGGCGGCGAGCGAGGGGAGTAAGCGAGAAGGGGCGGGCCTTCTCAGAAGGCTCGGCTGTCCCCCGGCCTACTGGGACGGCTTCTGCGCCACCCTCGGAGATGCAGAAAGCCTTTCAGAGGGCCGGAGGCCTTCTGAGAAGCCCCGCCGCCTTCTTGGAGGAGGAGGAGGAGGAGGAGGAGGAGGAGGAGGAGGAGAAGGCCGTCTCCTCCTCACGCCGCCCCCCCTCGCTCGCCGCCGAGTCGGGGGCGGCCTGGCCAGCCCCGGCGTGGCGCACCGGCCCAGCCGCGCGCACAGAGGGGATGGAGGGGGAGACCCATGCCAAGAAGCACCCTGCTTGCCTCTCGGGTGCCCTGGGTTTCTCGTGGGTTTCGATGATTTGGCCATGGGAAGCGCGACGCTCCCACACCAAACATCGATCGATTTCCTGGGGTCTCAGGGTTGGGTTTCTTGTGGGAGGTTTCTTGTGGACTGGCCTCCGCTGGAAAGGGGGAGGGGAAGAAGGCTTCTCAGAAGGAGGCCGCTGCTTGGAAGGCGCGGGCCTTGTCTGTAGACATAGGGCCCGCGCCTTCCAAGCAGTGGCCTCCTTCTAGTCTAAGAAGCCTTCCCCCCCTCCCCCTTCATCCCCTTGTGCGCGCCGCCAAGAATGAGCACAAGCTTGCGGAGGTTGGGTCGGCGCCGAGACCCCCTGGCGGCGCCTCCGGCGCCGCCCACGTTGCCGACCCGAGGCATCCGCACGGACCTCTAAAATGTTGTCGTGCGTGTGCCGATGTTTCTTCGTTCTGCTCCCGGGCTCGAACCGCCCCCCTGCCATTGCGGTCCGTGTGCCTGCGATGCACTTCCTGTCCTCCTCCTCCTCCTCCTCCTCCTCCTCCCGAGGAGGAAACGACTTCCTGTCCTCCTCTTCCTCCCCCTCCTCCTCCTCCTCCTCCTCCTCCTCCTCCTCCTCCTCCTTCTCCTCCTCCTCCTGAGGAGGAAACGACTTGCTGTCCTCCTCCAACTCCCCCCTCCTCCTCCTCCTCCTCCTCCTCCTCCTCCTCCTCCTCCCCTCCTCCTCCTCCTCCTCCTCCTCCTCCTCCTCCTCCTCCTCCTCCTCCTCCTCCTCCTCCTCCTCCTCCTCCTCCTCCTCCTCCTCCTCCTCCTCCTCCCTCCCGGGGCCACCCGCGGGCGGGGCACGCGGGCGGCCCCTGGCTCGACTTGCGTGGCGGGGTGCCGGCACCGTGCGGCGGTCGAGGGGGCCGCGGAGCAGGGGCGGGGGAGGAGCCGGAGGTGCCTGCCCGGAGGTGCCTGCCGGAGGTGCGTGCCCGGAGGAGCGGAACCGTGCGGCGGTCGAGGGGGCCGGAGGAGCAAGGGCGGTCCCTCTCTCCCGGAGCCGAGGTGCCTGCCCCCCCCGGAGAGTCGGCCACGCGCAGAGAGGGGGGGGGCGGAGGGGGGAGGGCTTCTTAGAAGCACCCCTGCTCCTTAGAAGGCGCGGGCCTCATCTATAGATGTCGGGCCGGCGCCTTCTAGGAAGCAGCCTGCTTCTAAGAAGCCCTCCCCGCTCCCTCCACCCCCTTGTGCGCGCCGCCAAGGAGGAACCGGAGATGCCTTCTCCCCTGGAGAGGGCTGCGAGGGGAGGTGATGTATCGCTGTATGCGCGCTCCTGGAGGACAAGATGGACTGGATGGGCGCAGCGGTGGGCTGCTCGGGGATACGAGCATCATCATCATCATCATCATCATCATCATCATCATCATCATCATCATCATCATCATCATCAACATCATCATCACCATCATCATCATCATCATCATCATCATCATCAACATCAACATCAACACCAACATCATCATCATCATCATCATCATCATCATCATCATCATCATCATCATCATCATCATCATCATCATCATCACAGACAATGATAAGCTATAATGTCTTGGCTATGAGCTTCCTGACGTATGTCGCGCAATTCTTTTCGCCGACTGATGTGGTTCGTCGATGTCAGCGTGAATGGCTTCAAGCGGTTATTGGTTGGCCTCGTCATTCTCTGCATCCTGATCTTCTGTATCGATTAAAGGAACTTGGTTTCCCTGTGCAAGCGGTAGATATTGCTCGGTATGCTGCTGCAGCACAATATCGTCTGGCTCGTCGCTCTGGTGTATTCCAAAGGCTCATTGATGAATATCATGATATTCTTGATGGCAGTAACTGGTTGGTCGCTCATGAGTACAATCCGAGATTTACTAACAGTATGTTTTATCAAGTACATGAGAACTGGAGACGGCTCAACTGTGTACCGCGTGTTCCCGATGATCCGTGGAGGAAAGACTTTCAGAAATGCGTTATTTCTCAACTGAATATGCACGAGACTCCTGTGTCTTTTTATCTACAAGACCGAATGGATTACTGGATGAAGGATCGCCGCTCCGATCGCAACGACGCTACACTGATGCTTATTCGCATGTCGATGGTGTCTGCGCAGTTGCCCTGCTTCGTCCTCGCCAGTGTTCTCAAGACTGTGTGCAATGGATGGGCTACTTCCGCTCGATATTGCCAGCCACGTGATGTTTGTCGGTTCGGATGCAAGGCCGGCTCTTGTGATGCCATCCCTCACTATTTCTCTTGCCCGCACTTTGTAAATGCTGTATCACATCTTCTGCCATGTATGCCTGTCTCCTATTTCTTCGGTGACCCCAGGAAGCGATTCCTGCCGCATCTCTGTGAACGGGGAACCTCAGAGGAGCTCAAAAGTATCGTTGTTGGTATTGAGCTCGCCCACTCTGTGCATCATAGAACGCGCGCACGTGAATCTTATTGTCCTGTTTTTTTCCTTCGTCTCTTGCATGCCCGTGCACGTCAGCTGTTGCGTCGCCGTAAGTGTCTTGTGTCTATTTTCTCGAATACCACACCTGCGCACGTTCACTGTCGTTGTCCAGCCGATCGCATCTTGACTTAGCTCGTCGCTATTGGACGGACGTTCTGCCCTCGTCTCGCTTCGTGTCTGCCCGCCCTCTTCGCGTTTTGCCCTCTTCTCGCCTCTTGCCCGCTTGCCCTCGTCTCGTCCCTTGTCTTCAACGCGAGTCCGGATCATCATAATCATCATCATCATCATCATTATCATTATAATCAACATCATCATTATCATCTTCATCTTGATTATCACCATCATCATCAACATCATCATCATCATCATCAGCATCGCCATTATCATCAGCGGCATCATCACCCTCAGCATCATCAGCATCATCGCCAGTAGTATCAGCATCGCCACCATCATCATCAGCGTGATCATGCTGATGATCATCCTCATCATCGTCATCATCAGCATCATCATATTCATCATCATCATCATCATCATCATCAGCATCATCAGCATCGTCATCATCATCGTCAACATCGTCATCATCGTCATCATCATCGTCATCATCGTCATCATCGTCATCGTCATCAGCAGCAGCAGCGGGCGACGTCATCTGACCACCTCAACGATCATGTTCGGGCCCATCTTGGCCCAAGATCGGTGCATGTGCATCTCTGGCCATGATCGGGACTGGCTGGGATCGGTGAGGTCGTCAGTTGGCGTCGTCCAGCACCACCGCTGGCTCCGGCACTGGCTCCCATGGTGCCAGCTCCGGCACGGGCTCCTAGATGCAGAAGTTTCGGACCCAGGCGAGCACCAGTTTCATCAGCGTCAGCATCGGCACCAGCCGCTTCCAGCAATTCGGACGGAGTCTGCTGCCGCTGCTGCTCCTCCGCCGCCTTCACCTCCCCTGATTTCACCGAGCGCGTTCTTCTACTCGCAAAGTGCCCAACTACTCGCAAACGTCAGCAACAAATGTGTTTTCCTCGATGTAAAACATCGCAGATCCCCCGCGGCGTATCCAGACCATTTGCGAGTAGTTACTTTGCGAATAGTGGAGCGCGCTTGTCTATTATTCGTTGTGATCCGCGCCGCCCTCCGCTGCCTCTACATCCTCGACCTGCTGTTGCTCCTCCTCCTCCTCCTCCTCCTCCTCCTCCTCCTCCTCCTCCTCCTCCTCTTCCTCCGCTTTCTCGGCCGCGACGCCCAGCCCGAGGATGAACTCGGGTGACGTTTGGGGGGTGGGGTGCCGTGTCGGGGGGCCCGCCCGAGGCGGATCGCAGCCTCGGGCGGGGAACGGAAGATCTCCTCGGATGGGCACCCCACCCCACTCTTCCACCCCCGTCCCCTCCGACTCCTCCCCTTCGGGGCGTCGAACCTCCCACCCTGCGGCACCGTCCGCCTTGCCCGCGTGGTCCTCGCCCTCCCTCCGCCTGGCTCCCAGGGCCGGGGCCTTCGCCGCCCGGAGGGCCAGCTCACTCCAGGGGCGGCCCTCGGGCACGCGGAGGGGCGCGGCGCCGAGGAGCCCTGGCAGGAGCAAGGCCGGGCTTAAGTCGGGCCTGTCCCTCTACAGGAGGCATATTCAAAAATAGTGAAAGAACAGTCTGGGAACGATTTGTTGACCATTTTGGGGCATTTGGGGGGTATTTTGCTGTGTATTTTTGGGGTATTTTTAATTTTTCGTCCAAAATCGGCCTGTAGGGGGACAGGCCCGACGTAAGGCCGGGCTGCAGGGCGCGAGTCGTGTTGTCAAAAAGGTGGCTACTCGCCCCTGGGGCCGCGCGTGTTCGATGATCCAGCAGTTGCAAGGATGGGCGGCGGGTGGTCTTCAAGAGGTGGCCACTCGCCCCAGGGGCCGCGCGCATTCGACGATCCAGCAGCTGCAAGGATGGGCGGCGGGTGGTCTTCAAGAGGTGGCTCTCGCGCTCGTGCCGCGCACATCCGTCCGAAACGTTCCCAACACGGATAGACGGCGGCTCTTCTTCAACATAGGGGGTGGCACTTGGCAACCATTCAAGCTATAGGACGGGACGTCTGAAGCAGTGCAACAGCAACGCGGACGGATGACGGCTCCTGTTCAAGATGGGCCTCCCGCTTGATGCCTCTTCGGAATGTGACCCGGAGGTAAACCTGTTGTGCAGCATGTCCAAGGTTGGAGGTTGGTCGTTTTCAAAATTTGGTTGTCATTGTAGATTGCGTGGAGCCTTCAGGCGATGGAGGGCGTTCTTTGAACGCGGCTATCGCTCGAACGGTAGGGCTATGGGGCTCGCGTTTTTCCAAAGGAGGACGCCCGCTGTTCTTTACAGTGTGCCTGCTGTTTGTTGAGCACATGTCCCGTAGATCAGAAACATCTCTGTGCGATGACTCGAACGTGCATTTGTTCCTGCATGTGTCATGCAAGATCACAGCCAGTTTTTCAGCGTTTAACGGGACGCAGCGCAGGGAAAATATGAGGCAGGGCTGGCTCAGGGGACGACAGGTAGGGAGGCAGGCAATGCGTGCTGGACATGTCTACACCCGTCGTGTCTGACCTGCGACGCGCCGGGGGCGATTGTCGTGCCCAAATTGCACTGCAACGATCCCAAGGAATATGTTCCAGTGGCCGGTCGTATTACCTGTCCTGCTGCATGTCTGCTGTAGTGCGTGTGGCTCCAGCATATGCAGATTTTACATGTTGTTTGCCTTGTTGCAACACCAACACAGTCTCAGGGAGTCAACGTTAATTTCGCAGATGACGGCGGTGTGGATGGTGACCACGCTATGACGATGCTGCTGAAAATGATAAGGGCGAGTGGAAGAACACCGACGCCTATGTCGGCAAGCGGCGGTGATGACGATGACGGTTATGGAGATGTTGATCAGACATGGGGACGAGGATGGCGAGGATGCGTACGAGGAAGAAGAGTGCCGTGGAGGAGGTGGAGGAGGAAGAGGAAGCTGAGAAGTGCGAGGAGGAGGAGGAGGAGGAGGAGGAGGAGCAGGAGGAGGAGGAGGAGGAGTGCGAGCAGTGGACAGCACGGCGAGCGGGAGGAATAGGAGGAGGAATCCGTGACAGCCACCATGGCGGACGCAGGAAGGCACGTTGTGGGCGGGAGCGGCGGCGGCACCGGGCAGGCGTCGAGTCCTTCGAGGGCCGCTGGGCGGCAGAGACGCGGACCATACTGGCTCGCGGAGTCAGGTTGGCCCGCTGCGAGGAGGATCAGCGGGGAGAGAAGAAGGAAGGTGAAGGCCTCCTCCTCCTTCTCCTGCTCCTTCTCCTCCTCCTCCTCCTCCTCCTCCTCCTCCTCCTCCTCCTCCTCCTCCCCCTCCCCCTTCTCCTCCTCCTCCTCCTCCTCCTCCTCCTCCTCCTCCTCCTCCTCCTCCTCCTCCCCGCCGTCCACCTGCTGCTGCGCACGCGCTGGGACGGTTGTCCCGTCGCGTCCCTGTCGTTCTCGCCCTCTTCCTCTTAATCCGCCTCCTCCTCATCCTCCTAATCCGCCTCCTCTTCTTCCTCCTCCTCCTCCTTCTATTCCCCCCTCGTCCTGATCCTCCAGGCGAAGATCCTAATCCTCCTCCTAATCCGCCTCCTCCTCCTCCTACCCTCGTCCTGATCCTCCAGGGGAGGAGGATGAGCACGAGCAGGGGGAACAGGTGTTGAGGGGCTGCTCCGGATCCAGTTTTCAGTGCGCCTGGACGCTGAGGCATGCGGCGCTGTCGGGGAGGAAGGAGGAGGAGGAGGAGGACGAGGAGGAGAAGGAGGAAGACGAGGATGATGAGCACATAGGAGCATGTAGGAGCATGTGCCAACGACAACAGAAGTCGTCCCCGAAAGGTGCACCAAGACGAACGGTGTGCTGTGATAGGACAAGAGCTTGACGCTGGCCCACTTGCGGCCACCTTCCCCGAGGTGGTGTACCAGTGTACCGCCTCCAGTGGTGTTGGGGTGAACGAGACACCCTCCTCCGGAGACGATGCAGGTCCTGATTCTGCGTACCCCATTGCACCGACCCTATTATTGCAGGCCAGTCACGGCAAGAAAACGGCCGCATGTTTGTCCCCAACGCCCATGCGTCGACTCTAAGTGACAGTGTGCCCTTCGCGTAAGGTGGCGCTGGCACCAGGATACGGTGCCATGCCCTTGCGAAGGACGAGGACGAGGAGGACGAGGACGAGGAGGAGGATGAGGAGGAGGGGGATCGGGGGAGGAGGAGGAGGAGGAGGAGGAGGAGGAGGAGGAGGAGGAGGAGGAGGAGAAGGAGGAGGAGGAGGAGCAGGAGGAGGAGGAGCAAGGACGAGGACGAGGACTAGGACAAGGGCGAGGAGGAGGAGGACGATGAAGAGTAGGAGGAGGAGCAGGAGGAGGAGGAGGAGGAGGAGGAGGAGAAGGAGGAGGGCGTCAGGCCACCCGCAAGTCGGACACCCTTTCTGGGGAGCCTGGGCGTCAGGCCACCCGTATTCGGGCATTCCGCGCCTTGGCCCTCGTCCATGAAGAGGACCCGACAGCAGGCGGGAAACAGTATGAGCCGCAGGCGGTGGTTAGGGTCCGCGCCCGGGTGCCTGGCGGGGGGGGGCGCCGCGGCAATAGGTGTCGACACGGCCTCAAGCGAGCGAAGGAAGGAAGGAAAGAAGGAGGCACGGGAGGAGGAAAGATAAGAGTGTGAGGAAGCGCGGGATACTGAGACGCAGGAGGAGGAGGAGAAGGAGGAGGAGGAGGAGCGCAAATGCATATGTGTTGTCCGCGTCCTAACGAAGCATTGCAATGCCCGTCATACCATATTCTGCCGTCGCCCTCCTGGTGTCTGGTACGATGTTTGGGCAGGTCATGACGCTTCAAACTTCCATGGGTTTCCCTGGCTCGAGTTTGATTCGCGCTCACAGTGGCGTCTTTGTCATCATTCGATCGTTGGCTCGTGCTGCGTCCACGTTGTCATGGCCGCTCCCCCATGACTCTCGTTTCTCCCCCCCTCCCCACCCTCGTCCTCTTTCTCTTCCGTTTGGTTATCATGACCTCTGCGTGAACCCCAGGCAGCGACGCTGTGCAATCCTTCGGCCCATCCGCCACCGTGCCTGGCTTGCGGGCCAGAGTCCCCTGGGATGCATCTTGGCGTCTCGGGGTGCATCTTTAAGAGCATAGAAAGGCCTCTTGACGTGATATATGGAGTGCGGTGTGGGACTCCAACCTGTGTGACTTTGCGGTCGGGAACTTTGGCTTGGCGTGTCGGGCCGCTGGTTCGGCGCGACCCACCCCCCGAACGTCAACATCCTGAGCTTCTCGGAGCCCCCCGCCCCGCGGAGCGGTAGCTATACGCTGTCCGCTCGCATGGCACAGCGTGTGACGCGCCGAGCAAAAGTTTCGGACCTTGGGAGGGACACGCGGTATCGATGACACGCCACCGTTGAAAGCCCGTCAGCGTGTTGCTCCTTCGGTTTCGTCCGAAGTCCTCCTGAGGAGGAGGAGGAGGAGGAGCAGGAGGAGGAGGAGGAGCAGGAGGAGGAGGAGGATGAACCGAGCCCAACACGTCGTCAGCTGCAGGAGGAGGAGGAGGAGGAGGAGGGAGGGAGGGAGGAGGAGGAGGAGGGAGGAGGAGGAGGAGGAGGAGGAGGAGGAGGAGGAGGAGGAGGAGGAGGAGGGCTGGGTTCCCTGCGGCGGCGTGCCATTGATCTCGTTCTTGCCCCCCCACGACCCCATCGTGTGGCACCGCCGCGCGCCGCCGACCACCACCGAAGCTCGCGCTGAGCAGGGCCGGCCCGTCGCCCGACCGAGCCCTGGGGCACGGCAGCGCCGCGCACCGCCGGCCGGCGGTTGAGCTCCCCGCCGGGTAGTGGCGAAGCGCTCGGGCTTGCCCACGTCAGGGGCAACGACAGGGGGGGGATAGGGCGGGACAATCCAGGTCGGCGGGCGGGCTCGCAAGAGCACGGGCCAGCGAACCCCGAGGAGGCGGATCGGGCGGGCGGGGACGGCCCGGAAGGCGGCCCGGGCGGGCGGGACGGAGTCCACCGCGCGGGCGGGATCGGCGAGAGGGCGAATCCGAACGGGCGGGCCGGGCGAGAGTGGGCCCTAACGGGCGGGTAGGGCGAGAGTGGGCCCACAGAGGGGGGGACGCATCGATCCCCAACCGCCCACCGATCGCCGATAGGGGCCCGATGGCCCCGACCTGCCCAGGAAGGGTCGGATTCACTGTCGGAGGCCCATCGCCGATCTATCGGCGATGTATCGCCGATTCCAGGTCGATGCCCCCCCTATGTCAGTCCCCCCCCCCCCTATCGTTGCCCCTCACCTAAGAATGTGCTAAGAACCTTTTGCGTTTTGAACGACATATTCTCAGAACATTTCTGGCTGAGACAGTCTGCAGATTGTGATTAGCAAATGAGCCCCCCCCCCCTGGGGCTGATGAGTAGACCCCGCGGGCCACGAAACCTTTTCTTTATCACGCGCGCCAGGGGGTCGTCGCGGGCACCGCCGAGGGGATCGTGTACCCCCTGAATGACAGCCTCAAAACGATGTCATGTCGTATCGAAGTTGTTATATGGGGTCGTATACATCCGAGGAGAATTTTCTTCCCCCTCTCAGGCGTCGTCGTCGTCGTCGTCGTCGTCGTCGACTACAGCGGGCTTATGCAGCCCCCCCCATTAGGGCATCCGCAGTGCGTCGACGTCGTCCTCGTCGTCGTCCTCGTCCTCGTCCTCGTCTTCGTCTTCGTCGTCGTCGTCGTCGTCGACTACAGCGGGCCCACGCAGCACCGCCCCCCCCACCCCCATAGGGCATCTGCAGTGCGTCGTCGTCGTCGGCGTCGTCGTCGTCGTCGTCGTCGACTGCACCCCCCCCCATGCAGCATCCGCAGTGGGTTGTCGTCGTCGTTCGTCGTCGACTAGAGCGGGCCGTCGTCGTCGGCGTCGTCGTCGTCGTCGACTACAGCGGGCTTACGCAGCCCCCCCCCATTAGGGCATCCGCAGTGCGTCGACGTCGTTCTCGTCGTCGACCTCGTCCTCGTCTTCGTCTTCGTCGTCGTCGTCGACTACAGCGGGCCCACGCAGCACCGCCCCCCCCACCCCCATAGGGCATCTGCAGTGCGTCGTCGTCGTCGTCGTCGTCGACTGCACCCCCCCCCATGCAGCATCCGCAGTGGGTTGTCGTCGTCGTTCGTCGTCGACTAGAGCGGGCCGTCGTCGTCGGCGTCGTCGTCATCGTCGTCGACTACAGCGGGCCTACGCAGCACTTCCCCCCACAATGCGGCACCCGCAGTGCGTTGTCGTTGTTGTCGTCGTCGTCGTCGTCGTCGTCGTCGTCGTCGTCGTCGTTGTCGTTCGTCGTTCGTCGTCGTCGTCTCCGTCGTCGTCGTTGTCGCCGCCATCGTCGTTGTTGTCGTCGTCGTCTTCGTTGGCTACACCGGGCTGCTCGTCGTCGTCGTCGACGAGTACATAGACCGCGACAGATTGGGGGGCCACCCCGCGATTCGCCCGAGCAGGGAAATCATGTTTGTAAACACGTGCCCCCCGCGCATTTGTTAACCGCAAGCTGACATGGCGTTGAAAGAACCTTGTTTTCGTTATCAAAACATTTTGTTCTCAGAACATGTCGTGGTATACCTATGGGAATGCCGGGGCGGGGACGGTCGGTCCCTGCTCAGAGCACGCCAGCGGCCAACCCAGCGGTCTGATAAATTCACGACGGGCGTTCGAGGAACGAGGTTCGAGGTATTCGGGCGTTTCCGCTGCGTGGTTCTCGGCAGCCTCGGGATGTTCTGCAGCAGTTGCGTCTCGCCGCGGGCTTCCCGGGGTGCCCAGCTCGGCCCGCACGGCTGCCGGAGAGCCGACTTGTGGCCCAACGATCCAGACGCGCTCGCGTCGTCAAGGAAAAAAAAACGCTTGAAGAACTGTTCGCCGTTATCGGCCCTCGGGGGCCCTCGCCGGGCCCCGGGCCGCCAAGAAACGACCCGCGATGGAAAGCCGACCTTGGGGAAAGGGCCGGGAGCTGCGGGGACCCCGTATTGCCGATTTTTTGTCGCGGCAGCGGCGACGCGCAACGCGGCGCAACGCGGTCGTGCCGTCGTCCGTCTGTCGTTGCGCGGCCCCCAGGGTGTCCGACACCGAGCTGCTGCGCGTCAACAGTTCGTTCGCCTTCTTCTTCGGCTCCTTTGGGGGCTCAAACATATTGTTTGTTATTCTTCCTCTCTCTCTTTCTTTCTTTCTTTCTTTCTCTCTCTCTCTCTCTCTCTCTCTCTCTCTCTCTCACATACACACACACACACGTACGCACGCACGTTCGCAGTCACGCACGCACGCGCGCACTCACGCACGCACGCGCGCACGCACGCATACACACACACGCACACATACACACACTGTTTTACGTCGGCGGCTGGGCAGACGGTGACTGCTCCGGCGGATTGGCTGACAGGGGGCGCTCTAAATGCAAATTGGCGCAGCAATTCCCGAGGGAGGAGGAAAAAACCCAGGCGCGACGGGAAGAGAGGAAGCCGGGCGCGCTCAGGCAAGTTACCAGCAGCGGCGGGTGGGAATGCCGAGGGGGGAGGACCAGCGAACGCGACACACACACACACACATACACACATACACACATACACATATACATACACACGCACACCTAGATGATTCATGTGTATAATTCGAGATGTGCTTGTATATACACATATGTAATATATGTATATCGAATCGCCTTCCGCCCATCCCGCCACCGTGCCTGCGTTATGGGTCAGAGTCGTCAGGGATGCTTCTTGGGCTTTCGTCGGGTCGCTCTCGGGGGCCTCTGGGGGGCAGTGTTGGGGCCTCGAGAGGGCCTCTTGGGGGCGTTTGGGGGACCTTTTGGGGGCTTCCTTGTGGCGGGTCTCTTGGGGGCTCTTGGGGGCTTGTTGGCAGCCGTCTTGGGGACTTCGTGGGCCGTCTTGGAGGCCTCTTGGGCCGTCTTCGATTCCTCTTGGGCCGTTGGGGGGCCCTCTTGGAGGACTCTTGGGTAGTCTTGGGGCGACATTGTGGGCTCTTGGCCGTCTTGGCACCGGGAAGCCGAAAAGGCGAAAACGCCAAAATCATTCAAACATTTTGGGAACATCATTGATTCTTGCCTCTTGGGGCCCTCGTTGGAGGGCTCTTGGAGGCCTCGTGGGGCGTCTTCGAGGCCTCCTGGGCCGTCTGGAGGCCATCGTGGGCGTCTTGGAGCGATCTTTCGGCGATCCTGGGCCCTCCTGGACCGTCTGGACGGCCCCCCGCGGGTTCCTTGGCCTGTTTTGTGGCCCTCCCGTGCGAGAGGACCGCCCTGGAGGTCCACGCGAGAAGCCCGGGCCACGCCATACCGCTCGAGAGCGCCGGGGAAGCGGAGGGCCCAGGCCCGTAAGGATTTTACAAACCATGAGCCTCTCAGAGCTGCACGAGCCTTGGGCCCCTCCACTTCGTGCCGCTGGCGCGATGTCGGATCTGCATTTCAATATGTTGTTGTTTCTCTCTCTCTCTCTCTCGCTCTCTCTCTGTCTCTCTCTTCTCTCTCTCTCTCTCTCTCTCTCTCTCTATATATATATATATATATATATATATATAGAAATATTCCTCTTCCTATATTTTTACAAGCCCAGGCGGGGGGAAAACCCCTCCCCCCCCCAAAAAAAACCGGACGCCCTGGATCTGGGGCTTTGGGACCCTCCAGACGGGCCCCCGGGCCTCGCAGGGCGTTTTGCCAGGCCTTCCCAGCACACCTAGTGCGATCGGGGGGGTCAGGGGGTCATCGGAGACGTCCCAGGGACCCCCAAGACAGCACAATAGCGCTCCAAGAGTGACCGACGTGACCTCAAGACGACCCCTAAGAAGCCGTCATACCCCCAAAGATCGCCCCGAAACGTCCCAAGAGGCCTCCAAGAGCACTCCCAAGAAGGCCCCAAGAGGCACAAATCATTGATTTTCCGTCGGTTTTTGGTGAATTTGGGGGTTCTCCTTTTTTGGGCTTCCCGACGCTCCAAGCTGGCGGTCTTCTGGGCGTCCGAAGCCGCCTGGGAGGCTCCCAAATCGCCCCATACCCATCCCACAGGGCTTCCAGGCAGTCCAAGAGAACCCCAAAACGGCACAACGGGGGTTCAAGATGGCCCTCAGAGAGCCCCATGGCGGCCCAAGATGGCCCCAAGACACCCTCCGAAGCATTCCAAATCGTGACCCGGTTCAGGGAGACCGCGGTTGGAGGCAGGGTGGCCCGAGGAAACCCCCAGAGGCCCCCAGAACACGCCCAGGAGGCCTCCAGAAGGCCTTAAGAAAGCCTGAAATAACTTTTGTGAGGCCCCCAGAGGCTCTCCAAGGAGGAGCCTCCGCAAAAAGAGCTGAGGAGGATGGGGAGATGCGCAGGGTATGTCGAAAATGAGGACAAAGGAGGAAGGATAACGAATCACAGTATTATAGCGGCGATGCCGGAAAAGGCAACAAGGAGTTATCGCTAAATTGTCGGCTTGACTTTCCTGCTATTCCGCCTGCATGTCAAACTTCAAGGACCAAGGTGCATGGCGCGAAGCGCCACTGCAGTCTTGTATTTATATATACATAAACAGGTGTACGTGTATATATGCACATACATACATACATACATACATACATACATACATGCATGCATGCATGCATGCATGCATGCATCCATACATCCATACATCCATACATCCATACATCCATACATCCGTACATCCGTACATCCATACATCCATACATCCATACATCCGTACATCCATACATCCATACATCCATACATCCATACATCCATACATACATACATACATGCATGCATACATACATACATACATACATACATACATACACACATACACACATACATACATACACACAAACATACATATCGATCCGTTTTCCAAACAGAATTGCACGCCCCAAACGCAAGCCGCCTGCTGATGGGCACGGTTCCGTCCCATCGCCGTTTTTGCTCAAGTATTTCGGGCGGCAGCGCCATCCCAGCTTCTTGGAATTCCGTGGTCATCACCTGAGCAGAACCACCAGCGGCGTAATCGCCATTCTCGATTCGGTTGGGCCAGAGCGTGAGCGGCTGGCCGACGAAGCTTCGACTGTGTGTTGGCCTCGGGCTCGTTCGGGAGCATCCGATCGCTGGTGAACCTCTGTTCGCTGGCGGGCTTGCCCTCTGCCGTGCGCCTGACCTTGGGCCGCTGCCTCGCTTCGCGTCCGTCTCCAGTGGGAGGTGGGCTGCACCGGGGCGGATCTGATCCAGTTGTGCGAGTGCCAGAGCGCGGAGTGCGGGGCAGAGTTGGAAGTTACTTCGAGGCAGGCGGGGATCGGTAGTCGGTGCGTGCGGTACGCCCCCTTTCGGGACCTGGACGTGTATCCTCAGATCTTGTCGGTGGGCCTCCTCGTGAGCGGCGTGGCGTTGAAAAACGACGGATCCTCGATGACGGAGATGACGTTCGGGCGCCCACGGAGGGCTCCGAGTGCGGCATACGGCGTCGATGGTGAGCTGACCGTGGTCGAGGTGCGCGTGGCGCTGGAGGGGAAGGCCCCGTGGACGTCATCCCCAGCAGCAGGGGCGGGCACCAGCCCGGCCGAGGACCTCTATCCTGGCATGTCGGAGGGTTCGGGCCCACTGCCTGCGAGCGACGGGCTCAGCTGGTACATGCTGGCAGCGGAGGACCCATCGGAGCTCAGGCAGGCGGCGCACCACCCGGACATCGACGGGTATCTGGTCGTGGGGAGTGTTGGCATCGCCATGCAGGATGCCGACGCCGCGCTGGTGAAGGCGGGGGTCCCCTCGGTGCCCGGCCCAGGCTCGGAGACAGACGCGCGGGTGCTGGACATCAAGACGACGCCCGACGGCAGCTGCCGTCGTCACTTCACTGAGGCCGCGTGGCTGGTAATGACCACGGAGTGGGCTGAGTGGCCCAGCACGGGTGCGAGGACGGCCGCCTGGCCTCGGGTTGCTCGGGCTTGCCTGAATCAGCACCCTCGGGCCCGCTACACGAAGTGGGAGCACGAGTGCAGCCAGGAGGCCACGATCGAGGGTGTCGGCGGCAGCGACCTCGCCATGCGCACGGCTGAGCGGGGCCCTAGCTTCGGTCAGTCGAACCTCGGCGGGGTCGCCTCAATCGAGTTCTTGATGCGGAAGGCCGAGACGGCCGACGGACGGTATCGTGATCGCCTCGCTGCCGTCCAGGGCGGCGTCCAGACGGAGGGGAGCTGCCTCTACCTCGGCATGGGCCCGCCGCGAGGGCTGGTGACGGTCATGCCGGCACAGGTCGATCACATCAACCCCAGGGCGCACCACGAGGCCCAGATCCTCAAGGAGCGCCGGCAGGCGAAGGAGGAGAGGGTGCTCTCGCGAGGTGGCGGTGGCGGCTCTGTCGGGGGCGAGGCGGAGCTGCTGAAGAAGATCCAGCAGCAGGCGATCGAGCTCAGGAGGTGCCAGGAGAAGGGCGCAGGGAAGGACCAGTCGGCCGGCCACGGGGTCGGCCGAGGCCAATGACTCGCCCGGTCGAAGCCGGGCTCCGAGTGACCAGCCCCCCCGTCTCCCCATCTATCTCGCAGGGGAAATACAGGGGCAGAGGTTCCGCCCGGACCGGGGCCTCCACGGGGATCCCATCAAGAAGGACAAGCGCCACGGGCAGGATTGCCCCTGCTCGCGGAAACGCAGTTCCACGGATCCCCAGCTCCGAGTGACCCTATAGAGTAGGCAGATGCAAAGGCGGTGCGTCTGCGTCGGGGAGGGGCGACTTGCGGGAGCCAAGATGAGTGCCTCCCCCAGACATCCGACGTCTCGATTTTTTCGAGACACGGGCCCCCGACCTCCCGACCACTTCCCTGGCACCCGCTCTTCATCCCGAGCCGTTTTTTGACGGTCCCGAGGCCCGGCAAGGGCCCCGAGAGGCCGAAAATTGGGAAAAGCCTCCGTCTCGATTTTTTTGAGGCGCCCGCTGTCTGGGTCTGCGTCGGGGAGGGGCGACCTGCGGGAGCCAAGACGAGTGCCTCCTGCACCTCGGGGAGTGCACCGGGGCGGCTGCCAAGGCCGCCCTGGGCCTGGAGGAGGACCGGGCGGTCGGGAGCCCGGCCCTGGCCGCCAAGAAGGGAGCTGCCTCTGCGGTGAAGAGCCGTTTTGCTTTCTCCTCCTCCTCCTCCTCCTCCTTCTCCTCCTCCTCCTCCTCCTCCTCCTCCTCGTCCTCCTCCTCCTCCTCCTCCTCCTCCTCCTCCTCCTCCTCCTCGTTGTCACCCGTGCCATTCCGACACGTCACTTGTCCCCTGCACCGACATCAAAGAGCAAGCCAAAGAAATGATCAGTCTGTGGTCCGGGGTCCCAGACATCGGGCGTCTCGAAAAAATCGAGACGGAGGCTTTTCGTCGTTTTTGGCCTCGCGGGGCCCTCGCTGGGCCTCGGGGCCGTCAAAGAACGGCTCGGGATGAAAAGCCAGTCCCAGGGAAGTGGTCGGGAGGTCGGGGGCCCGAGTCTGGAAAAAAATCGAGGCGTCGGATGTCCGGGTCCTTGACGTCGGCTGCTGCCGCGGAGTAGTTCGCGGAGGCTTCAACAGAAAGGGCGAGCTCGAGCATCCACTCCGCGCCGTCGATCCTCTTCCAGGAAGCATATCCCGCGGCGTTTTTGAGCTTCGCCCAGCGCGCAGCGAGTCCTCCTCCTCCTACTCCTCCTCTTCCTCCTCCTCCTCCTCCTCCTCCTTCGTTCTCTTCCTCCTCATCCTCCTTCTTCTCCTCGTCCTCGGCGTCGTCGTCCTCCTCTTCCTCCTCTTATCCTTCTCCTGTTTCTCCCGCTGCTCATCCACCTCGTCGTCCTCCTCCGCCTCCTCCACCTCCTCCTCCCTTCTCATTCTCCCCCTCGTCGTACTGACTCTTCCCCCCTCCCTCGCCCCTCCTACGTCCCCGTCCACCACCTCCCTTTGCGATAGCCACAACCACGACAGGCGGCTTGTTGCTGTTTCCAGCTTCCCCGGGGCGCTTTTACTCACGTCCCCCTGCTTCTTCACCCTCCTCGTTCTCTCTTTCTTTGTTCTCCGCCTCCCGCCCGCCATGCGCAAGTGCACTTCCCCCCCCGCCGCAGACGACAGCTGCGTCCGCGGCTCGATTGGCGGCAACTGGATCCAGCTGCCCGTCGAGAAGAGGCTTCCCGTGCTGAAGCTGCCGACCCAG